CATCCAAAGCTGAAATTGGGGTATGTAGAAGATGATCCTGCATGAAAATACCAAGGATTTCTTGTCAAGAGTTCAGAGATGTCCCGTTAGAGTAGACTTCTTTTGGCACAAGAACTGTAGTTTTTAATATTTTTGAGACATAAGCATCTACGTCATGCATGTTTCTCATCGGCCAACAAATATCCTCTCTGCTAGATGAAAATATATTCATGGCACTGAAGGTACCATAGGCCAGACCCCCATAGAGAACAATCAAATGTCCAATTAAACAGTCATCTTATTGATATTTCTTATAAGATTCATAACATTCACCGTACATGTAACGTGCAGCTTTAGGATGCACAAACTATTAGCTAGATAAACAATGAAGAGTAGAATCATTCCAATATGGCAATGTCTATAGTGCTTATGCCAGTGCCCAAAACACATGTACACACATAAAAAGAAATGAAAGGAACATAATTCAATAGCACTTGGAATATCTTGAGCTTGTTTGCAGAAATTGTGCTAATGGCTTAACAGGGGTATTCTCTCAAACAAATGACAAATGCAAAATGTGTGTAGGGTGTAACAGAGCTCTACCTTACATACTTGCACAGAGCTAACCTAAAAAATTAATTATGAAGACACATACAGACATACCATTTATAAACTTCAATATTGCCTCTGCGCTAGTATTCAGTGTAGGCTGCAACAGGGGACCGATGACCATAGCTGGGTTTATTGTAACTATTTCAAATCCATTATCATTTGCAAACTTCCATGCAGCTTCCTCAGCAAGGGTCTTGGATAGCACATACCATTGCTGAAGCAGATGAACATTCAGGAGAACCAGATGAGAATGCAAATGATGTACAGTCAAGTACGGATTTAAAATGGCGATACAAAAGGATGTGAAAGTAAAGTTTTGAAAGATTTGCATACAAAGTTATATAAGGCAATCTAATTTCAAGTTAGGTAACAAATATCGAAAGAACTCTGTTAAAGCAGAAATTATGTCTAAGCTTATAGTCGATACGAGGAATGGAACGCATATCCCCACTGAAGAACAATGTGCTTATAATGATAAATGCAGGTGTCAGTCGTATGGTAATAGTAGCGATATACTTATGATGACAAGTGCAGATGTCATTCGTATGTTAATAGTAGTGAAGTGATTATATATTTATATGCCGGTTCAACATCTATGAGGCAAGTACTATGTTTATATTCAGCAGAATCTTAACTGAATAATGTGTAGATGCAGAGTTGTTCTGCAATTGTGTAGTAGCAGCAGACAGAGACTGACTACCTATAACATACTGGCACTAGTGTTGACTTAACCAGGTATAGTTTTTTTTTTTCCTGAAAACAAGTATAGTATGACACAAATAAAGATGGAACAAGATCAATTGACAGTTACTTTCCTATTCTTAAATTTCTCGTTATGGATTATGTATAATTGGACTCAACCTACATCCTTGTGTGAAAACACAAAAACCAAGATCTTCAATAACAATGGTATCACCCTCTCATCCTAAGAAACTGTATTTCAGTAGAGGTGTATGTAAGTCATCTAGTACGCTAATCAAGGGCATTTGAGTGCAGGCAGAGTGATAAATATAGAGCACAGGCATATGTATTTATTAACATGACTTGCCACACCATATGTGAAAAACAAGCAGAGCTCTACCAGCACAGAAAGACATATTACCTCATTCTTTTCACAGACCTCTGCACTTGAAAACCATGTCTCATCAACTACTACATCAGGTGTTCTGGGCTTCCCATTGTAGGCAACAGCAGCCATGGACGACGTTATGATCACTCTCTTGATTGAGGCTTTTTTGCAGGAACGGAGAACATTGAGTGTTCCATTGACTGCTGGGTCAAGTAACTCAGCCTGCAAGACAGTAAAGACACACATAAGTACACAGAACAAACGTCCAGTGAAGCTGTTGAATTTACTAACTAAACATCATAAACAGTTTTAGCTGTTGAAAACATAAGCCCGCACACATGCATAATTAAGGAACAAACACATGCTGTCTGTAATTGTGCACAAGATGGTCATGATATAGTACATGCTAACCTTGGGATCCTTGACATTGTGATAAAAGGGAGAAGCCGTGTGGAACACACAGTCAGAACCCGCGATGGCAGCATCGAAGGAGCCTTCTTCTAACAAGCTTGCTTTGAACAAGTGCAGCCTATCCTTGGCTCCATCCAGGGCCTGCAGGTGCAACGTTTTCTTGGGGTCGGCTGAAAGAAGGAAATATCAGTTCTTTATTTATTAAAAGGGATGACTCCCCCGATTTCATTAATGAAACCAAATCTGTTTATAGCCAAAGCAATCCAAACCACCAGGGAAACCCAGCTCAAGAGAGACCTAAACCCAGCTGACACAGCCAAGGTAAAACACCCCCACCCACTCAACCCATTCAGCCAAGATAATTATTAAATAGAAAACATTCCAGCATGCCAACATTTATGTTAATTGAGTGTCACAGGAACACGCTGGCCACACTATTATGAGAACTCACTTGTGTAGTTTTTTAATTTGGAAGTCAGACTGGCTGCCACTTGAGTCTTACTAGACTTGGATATATAGTTTCGTCAGGGAGATGCCGTTGACTCCCCAACACTAGCACTCACAGCATGCTCTTATTGCTAACTAGTAATTAAGTAGTGTACAAGGGAGTGAGTGAACAGAGCCTGAATTCATGTTGATTTTGAACGCCAACAAATCTAAAAGATTTATAATGGGGAAAAAAATTGACTGTCGCAGCGACATGCTAGCAACAGTATTATGTTTGTGAGAGCTAGGTTGTGCAGTTTAAAATTCACAAATCAGGATGGCTGCCCCTTGACACTTCCAGACTTGGATTTGTAAATATAACAGTTGCAGGGAGGGAGATGGCGTTGACTCCCCAACGCTGCCACTCACTCACTCACAGCATGAACTAATTGGTCCCTGACGCTGTATCAGTTCCAATCTGACAACCTGAATAAAACCTAGTCCCCCACCCACTGAATCGATGAACCCCTGGCGGGGCGGCCGCGGGGACCAAGCAACAACCAACTGGGCCGTAACCATGGATCCACCACGTAGTAGATCAGGCGGAAAAGGAAGGGAACAAGGGGAGGGAGAAGGGAAGGGGGTCCTGACCGGTGTCCCGGACGGTGGCGCGGACGGTGTAGCCGCGGTGGAGGAGGAGCTTGACGAGCCAGGAGGCGATGTAGCCCGAGCCGCCGGTGACGCACACCACCTTGCCCATCCCCGAGCTCATCTCGCCGTGCTCTTTCCGCCGGCGGCGGCTGGGTATGGGTGGAGACTCGGAAGGGGAGGATGGGTAGGTAGGACTGTGGAGTGGAGATCGGAGAGGGGGGAGAAGAGATGCTGCTGGGCTTGCGCTTCCGACTCGGCCCAGCGTCAGCGCACACGCCACGCTGAACTTTTGAAACGTCCGTGTGATTCAAGTGGACTCCCTCTCACTTTCTTCCTGAACGCCTCGACTATATCTGGCCATGGGCCGGGCCGGGCCGGGCTTGGGCCGGGCCTAAAAAAGCCCACAGCAGAAAACTGAGGCCCAGGCCCTCCCAGGCCCTACCATCGGGCCTACTTTTCAAGCCCAAGCCCGGCCCATCTGGTAAAAAGCCCTCGAAAGCCCTTAGGGCTTAGGGCCATAGGTCGGGCCTCTTCCTTAAAATGCCAATATGCCAAGCCCAAGCCCGTCAAGGCCTTGCTGGTGGGCTCAAAATTTAGGCCTAAGCCCGGCCCACGAGCAAGCCCATCGGGCCTAGGCCCTGGATTTTAGGGCCAGGCCTGGGTGGGCCGACAGGGCCGGACCAGAGATGGCCAGGACTAGCCTCGACTGACACTCCTCAAACATACTGCCTTTGTGACCGTGACATGTGGGCCCAACAGGTGGATGGCCCACATGTTAGTGACTCAAAGGCAGGTGCCTTTACGGCACTGGAGCTGTGTCCATGGCTTTGATGATCAATTTACAACAGGCTCTTATGAATTTTTTATTTTGAAACTAAAGGGGTTGCCCCCTGCCCCAACTTTTTATTGAAAAAGCAAAGGCAACCAAAACACACTGTTAATAGCTCTCGGCTCTAGCCAGAAGTAGCCGCAGCAGAATTATTATTGATGAAGCAGCAAAAGTCTGAACACCTACAAGATAACTAGGATACGACCCCTACAGGGAAGGCAACGCACAAGCTAGGAAATCCCTACAGGAGCATCTACATGCCAGGCAATCCTAAGCAACTCCCGATGATGATGGTCGAGCAGCTTCAAGCATTGGAGGATTAGCACAGCTTGGGAGTCCACGCACAGTATCTTCCGTTGATGGATATGCCTCCCCACCATTTCCAGCACACACTTGATACTTCGCCATCTTCTTCCATGGAACACAATTTCATTCCGAAACAACCATAAGCTCCATAAGGTAGCAGCATAAATCAGGTTTATAGCATCATAGCATTTTTCTTCTTCTTCCAAAAAGGAATAAAAGATTCAAATGATTCAGGTACATGCATCTTAGTGCAGTTAGAGATCACCAGCCACACTTGTCGGGCCACCACACATTCAAAAAACAAGTGATGGATACTTTCAGCTTCACTACAGAAGACACATGTCAAGTCTTTCACATGCTGGCATTTAACCAGATTGTCCCTAGTCAGACTCTTGTTATGCACCATTAGCCAAAGAAACACATGGATATTAGGTGGGTGGGACACTAATTTTCCAGATAAAATCTCTCCAGATAGAGACCACGCCCTCCCCCCCCCCCAATTTATCACCTTATACATAGATTTTACTGAATATAATCCTTTGCTTTCCAACGTCCACACAGGCTTATCAGCCATGTTGGAAAAAGGAACATTTTTAACCACACTAAGTATCTCATTCCAGGAGCATAAAGTATCTTCATTAACACATCTTCTAAAGGTCAGCTGCAAATTCTCCCCATCCCAAACCTGGGCCACTGAGGCATCTTGTTGCTGACAGATCACAAAGAGGTCCCAAAACCTAGTCTTGAGTGAACAATCACCCACCCAGGTATCATGCCAGAAAGAAATATTTCTCCCATTCCCAGGATCCACCTATAAAAAGTCTTAGCAGCAGAAAATGCCCAGGTAAAGCTCTTCCAGAAGGGAGAGCCTACCCCAGTTCTAGACCAGAGAATATTTGGCCTATCCACATTATACTTGTAATTAAGCATTTTCTTCCAGTCACTATCTCTGTCATCAAAGAATCGTTTACTCCAAGCAGCAAGTAAAGACATATTAAACTCCCTAAGATTAGGAACACCCAAGCCACCCCACTCTTTCTTTTGAGAGACCAGCCCCCACTTGGCTAGGTGGTATTTATGATTGTCTCCAATATTACCCCAGAAAAAATGAGACATTTGAGAAGTAATAGCATCAATTGCCCACTTAGGAAATTTCATAATGGACATTAAGTAAGTGGGAATACTAGCAATGCAGGTAGTAAGTAAAATCAATTTCCCCTTATAAGACAGATTTCTACCCAACCACCCAGCAATATTCCTGATAATTCTATCAATAATGGGTGGATATCCTCTCTCCTTAGTTTCTTGAAATGTAAAGGAACACCAAGATATTTAAAAGGGAAATCCCCAATTTGGCAACAGAAAATTTGGGCAAACTCCTTAGCAGTCTCCTCATTAATATTGATGGTATGCAAATCACTTTTATGAAAGTTGATACAGAGATCAGATAGTTTTTCAAAACAAGCCAAGATCCATTTCAAATGTCTGGCATGATCAACAGAGGCATCTAAAAATAGCAGTGTGTCATCAGTATACTGCAAGCTGACCACACCACCAGGCACTACATGAGGCAGAAGCCCTTTAATCAAGTTATGGCTAGTAGCTTTCTTCAGCATTTTAGAAAAAACATCAGCCACTAAGTTAAAATGAAGAGGAGAGGAAGGGTCACCTTGTTTTAGCCCTTTCCCTCCCACAAAATGAGGACCAATAGTGTCATTAATTTTCACAGCAAAAGTCCCCTGATGAAGGCAACTACAAACCCAACCAATCCATTTCTCACCAAAACCTCTAGACCTCAACATTTCCACAAGGAAATCCCAATTCACCTTATCATAGGCTTTTTCATAATCCAATTTCAGAACCAGGCCACTAGAACCAGATCTATGGATCTCATGAATCACTTCATGAGCCATGACTACACTTTCAAGTATGAATCTCCCCTTAATAAATGCAGTTTGATTTTGGGAGATAATTTTGTCACATATAGGGGAAGCCCTAGTATTCATAGCTTTTGAAAAAATCTTAACAGAACAGTTTCCAAGGCTGATAGGTCTAAAAAAATCATATCTTTAGCATTATTAACCTTAGGAATTAGGGTAATAATAGCAAAGTTTAATTTGGAGACATCCAGATTACCATTTTCAAAATCTTTCACTAACCACATAAAGTCATCTTTAATTAACTCCCAAAAGGTTTGATAAAAAATAAATGACAGGCCATCAGGGCCATGAGCTCCTCCAGCATAAGAACTCATAATTGCCTTTTTAATCTCCTCCTCAGAAAAGGGTTTTTCCAAAATCTCTCTCTCCTCCTCGGTGATCATGTCACAGTCATCCCAAAAGTCATCATCTAAATGAATATCAAGTTTTTGTTCATAAGAAAAAAGCTTCTTATAGAAGTTAGTAGCAACATCCAACAAATCATCAGTAGTTGTGACAGGGCCATCAGGGCCAATTAATTCATCCAAGTGGTTTTTCCTATGTCTATGATTAGCTAGAGCCATAAAATAAGCATTATTACAACCTCCCTCCAAGATTTTTCTGTCTCTAGATCTCTGCCAGAAGGCAGTCTCTTCCTTTTTCCAAAGATCATCCAACTCTTTCTTAATGAGATTCATTCTCTCAAACTCACATGGAGAAAGATGATTTTGCTCAGACTTCACATCTAAGATGTCAAACTCCATACGGAGGGATTTTTTCTTCTTCTTCATGGCAGCCTCTATATGAATGCTCCAACCTTTAATGACTTTCCTAAGAACTCTAGTTTTGCACATCAAATTCTCAATAGAAGAACTAGCATCACCATTCTTAGTCCACACATCATGCACAAGCTGGGAGAACCCATATTGAGCTAACCACCACTTCTCAAACCTAAACATCTTAGGACAATTAACTTTTCTAGCCCAGTGTCTAAAACTAGGGGTGTGTGGTCACTCCCCACCCTTGGAAGGGCAATCAAAGTAGATAAAAGGAAAATGCATATCCCAGTCCATAGAAGTGAACACCCTATCTAGAATGGCAAAGATGGGATTATTTTGATTATTGGACCAGGTGAAAGATCTGTTGGAAATGGAAATTTCTAGCAAGCCCATCTATTAACCCAATCATTGAAGAGGAAGGCAAAATGTGGATTAATCATGCCATTGCTTTTATCAGATTGTTGTCTAACAAGATTAAAATCACCACACACCAAAACAGGGTAAGAGGCAGATTCCAGGATATCATGCAATTCACAAATCAGGATGGCTGCCCCTTGACTCTTCCAGACTTGGATTTGTAAATATAATAACAGTTGTAGGGAGGGAGATGGCGTTGACTCCCGAACGCTGCCACTCACTCACTCATAGCATAGCTTCTTCTTCCCTGTATCAGTTCCAATCTGACAACCTGAACAAAACCTAGTCCCCCACCCACTGAATGGATGAGTCCCTGGCGGGGACCAACCAAGAACCAGCTGGGCCGATAACCATGGATCCAACACGTAGTAGATGAGGCGGAAAAGGAAGGGAACGAGGGGAGGGCGAAGGGAAGGGGGTCCTGACCGGTGTCCCTGACGGTGGCGCGGACGGTGTAGCCGCGGTGGAGGAGGAGCTTGACGAGCCAAAAGGCGATGTAGCCCAAGCCGCCGGTGACGCACACCACCTTCCCCATCCCGGAGCTCATCTCGCGCTGCTCTTCCGGCGGCGACTGGGTATGGCTGGAGACTCGGAAGGGGAGGATGGGTAGGTAGGACTGTGGAGTGGAGATCGAAAAGGGGGAAGAAGCTGTTGGGCTGCCTCAGCGTCGTGGGGGCGTCAGCGCTTGCGCGTCCGACTCGGCCCAGCGTCACTGCACACACCTATTCAGAATTTCAAAATTTGTTTACATTTTCAAAAAAGTTCAGAATTTCAAAATTTGTTTACATTTTTAGAAAAGTTCAGAACTTCAATTTTTTAAAAAAATTCAAAAAAGATCTGAATTTTAAAATAGTTTAAATTTTCAAAAAATGTTCAGATTTCACAAAATGCTCAGAATTTCTATTTTTGTTTAAATTTTCAAGAATATTTAGAATTCCAAAAAAATGAAAAAATATTTAGAATTTCAAATTTGTTTAGATTTTAAAAAATGTTCAAATTTCGTTAATTTTTTAAAAAATATTCATATATTGTTTAAATTAAAAAAACGGAATTTCACATATGTTCAGATTTTCAAAAAAGTTTCTGAATTTCAAATTTTATTTAAATTTTAAAAATGTTTAGACTTTCAAATTTTGTTTTAAATTTTAGTAAAAGGTTAGAACTTCAAAATATGTTTAAATTTTTTGTTCACCAGTCAAAAAAATTATTCGGAATTCGAAATTGTTCAACATGTCAAAACACATGCAGGCTGCCAAACAAAGTCTCAGCTCAACATGCCTCAACGCATACACTGCTATCAAACAACAGCAAAATATTATATGCCAAAATTATTGACGTTGGACAAGGAAGACAATGTAATGATTTTGTTCGTATTCACATAGAAGTTATATTGTCACAGATCCTTCAATATGTAGTGCTTGCCCCTATCTTTGCTAGCCAAGAATTCCGCACTAAGTAGAGATACTACTTGTGCATCCAAAACCCTTAAACTCAAATCTTGTTTGAGAGTCCACCATACCTACCTATGGATTGAGTAAGATCCTTTAAGTAAGTTGTCATCAGTGCAAAAAGGTAATAAAAATTGCTTATAAAAGTGTGAGATCATTTAGTGTAAGGGAAAATTGAACGTTGTACGAACTTGTGATGGCGAAGAATAAAAGCGACAGACTGCATAATAAAGGTTGCCATCATAAGGGGCAATATAATGTGACGTTCTCTTGCACTAAGGGGTTGAGCATACAAACAAAAAGCACATGGCAACCTCTGCTTCCCTCTGCGAAGTGCCTATCTTTACTTCTATGTATTTACTTTCATGCAAGAGTCAAAATTTTTCTCTCTATTCCTTTTTATTTTCTCCTTTGGCAAGCATCATGTGGTGGGGAAAGATCTAGGCACATATATCCAGTTGAATATGGGTAGCATGAGTTATTATTGTTGACATCACCCTTGAGGTGAATACGTTGGGAGGCGAAACTATAAGCCCCTATCTTTCTATGTGTCCGGTTGAAACGTTTTGCTCATGTGTACGCGGTGAGTGTTAGCAATCATAGAAGACTAAATGATGGTTGAGTATGTAGACTTGCCTAAAGGCTCCGATAAGTGACCCTTCCTAAAAAGATGATGAATTGTAGTTGCAAAGTTGACTGAAAACATAGTTTGTTGGTTTCCAATAGGGTTTATGCTTTATACTTCGATGTTGTGATGAATTTTCACTTGTTCATGAGAAGTTAATGATAAAAGTTCTACGATAAAAGTTTTATGTTAAAGTTTGTTGCTATTATAATATGTTACATGATGCTGCTATGTCCATATTTTTGTTTTTATAGACACCTCTCTCTCTCTAAGCATGTGGACATGTTTTTTGATTTCGGTTTTCGCTTGAGGATAAGCATGGTCTAAGATTGGGGGAGTTGATATGTCCATTTTGCATCATGTTTACCTATTGTTATTTATGTTGTTTTATTGTATAATAATGCTTTTTGGAGTAATTCTAATGCCTTTTCTTTCATAATATGCAAGGTATACAACAAAGGGGAGAATTCTGGCAGCTAGAAATCTGGACCTGAAAAAGCTACGTCAGGCTACCTATTCTGCACAACTCCAAATGAGCTAAAACTTTAGGAGGATTTTTTATGGAATAAATAAGAATTTTTGGAGTCAGTAAGTACCAGTGGGGCCCCACCAGGTGGGCACAACCCATCTAGGCGCGCCAAGGAGCCCAGGCGCGCCCTGGTGGGTTGTGCTCACCCAGGCCCACCTCTAGTGCCCCTCTTCTGGTATATAAGTCATTTTGACCTAGAAAAAAAATAAGGGGAGGACTTTCGGGACGAAGCGCCGCCGTCTCAAGGCGGAACCTGGGCAGGAGCACTTTTGCCCTCCGGCGGAGTGCTTCCGCCGGGGGAACTTCCCTCCCGGAGGGGGAAATCATCGTCATCATCATCACCAACAACTCTCCCGTCTTGGGGAGGGCTATCTTCATCAACATCTTCAACATCACCATCTCATCTCAAATCCTAGTTCATCTCTTGTGTTCAATCTTTGTACCGGAACT